TATTTTTTGTACATTCACTCGTGTTTTATTTGTGTTTTTTAACACCCATAGCTTCTCCACGACTTTATTTATTATTTTGCGGCAAAGGATTTGAAGGAAATACCAATATTATACTGACATTTGTAGAACGTTTTTCAATAATGTTTCGCAAGACATATCGAAATAATTGAAAATAATATATTTAAACGGACTTCAGTTACTTTTCGTGAGAATTTGAAATTCTCCATTTTTATGAGTGTGGAGTAGAATGTCTAAAATAAATACCTCCGTTCAAATCTAAAGATGATACTGTATATATAAAAACAATCCGACTTCAGTTACCAGTTTATCATATATATTATACACAAATTTGCAATGTAAAGATTATAATATACCGTGTTAATATCGAACAGGTAGAAAACTACAATATTACAAATGTTTACATTGCGCCTTCGCTTGACTCTTGGAAGTACAAAATACGTGGATCGATGTGATATGTCAAATCTTGAAGTAATCTCAATCGATATTGGATTCGGCAACAAAAACAAAAATGCAACATATTGACGTCGTTTAATACTTTTATCTTTTCCCCCCAATGTTCGTCCTGGCAATAATAAAATAACACATTATATAGCTCTCTGTCGCTCCCACGTTAAACAATTTCAGAGGCATTCTGAAATATTCATGGCCGCTCTAAAATATATATCGTTCACAACATTGTTGTTCCCTCCCTTAGCTGCGATCTGACACCTGTATTAGCATTTACGTATTGAGCTAAGTGTTCACTTCAAAATTCTGACAATTATTTTAAATTAAAACCAGTATAAAGTTAAATTTATAATTTTTATATAGACGTGACTGCCTCAATGCGAATGATTTTTGTGACCTAACTGACTCAGAAGCACCCCGTCTTTGAACTTGTTACTTGTACTGAAATTTAAGATTATGTGGCAGAATACGAACGATATTGATAATAACAGGTTAGGCCACAACCGAAAGGTCACTCCCTACGCAATATACGGGACCAAAATTGTAATTTTGGAGTTTTTTCATTTTCCATCTAATATGAAAGTTTAGAAGGTTATTATATTTCAATACGTTTGTTTGTAAAAATGGTTGAAGCAGACTAATACAAGCACTCTTTACTTAAACGCCAATGGCTGAATATGAATACCTATTTACAATAAGCCTGAAACGTTATCGCCAATCAAAATTTATTTAATAATGTCGTTTATTTCTCCAAATATGTTATATATATACGATGTATATTCAGATTTGGCCTTTTGAAATATCGATTTGATAATATAAAAAATCATTTTAATCGAAACCTTGAATTGTATAACCATAAAAGTGGTATAATTATGATGCATGGCCTCATTTATCGAAGCGAATGATATATTTTTGTTCTTTTCTTCTTTATATCTTTTTCTTCTGCATTGCAAAAATCAGTGTGAAATTTCGCTTACACGTAATTTGAGGTGAAACCACTTAATGGACAAAAATATAAAACCAGCAATATACAACTTTAAAAAATAAATGGATTTTAAAACATAGGTAGCCTATTTTTAAAAATTTACGAAGCATGAATACATATCAAGTATTTGCCATACGAGGCCTCGCATATAGCGCATTGCCCGACGCAATCGTTTGTGGCCATCGCGTGGCTGAGAGAAACATCGATTACAAATAGACAATTTGAAAACGCAGTAAATTGACTTTGACACGAAAATGACATTGCGGAGGAGATATTCGTAAAAAATTAATGATGCACCGGAAGACTACATATCGAGATAACAATATATATATAGAATGAATTCCCTTTCTGGTTGGCTATACGAAGAAGAAAATCGGATTTGGAATCGGCAAATAAAAATTTAGTTTGAAAATATTTCAAAAACAATTTAGCAGAACAGATATAAACACTATTCATTAAATAAGTTAACAGAGGTACTTGGACCTCTCTTGTCGTTTCAAATCACTGTGTTATTGTACCGGAGCCATGTCCAGGTAGTGAAACAAAAACTGTAAACTTCTCTAGCTTGTTGACTGGAAGAATATCAAATTTTGACAAGAAAAGAATAAATGTTCAAGTATATATTTTCCATAGCGAATCTCTGTGTAGCCGACCGCTTGTTGATTTTACCTACCTAATTAGAGTTCTGAGTCAAACCCGACGAAAATCGATTTCTGTAACCTGTGATCTGTCCGTGACTGGAAATATTTTATGACCTTATTGTAGACGTGATTAATCGATTTGCTGTCGTAAACATTAGAGCTAAAATATTTCGTGCAAGTCTGAGTAACAATGTTTTTCATTCAACCAATATTTCATCCAATGAAGAAAATTCTCAGGAATATAAGATATGCCAGTTGTCATAGATTCCACAGAAATATTCATTTCAACCGGAATGTTAATCTATATTGTTTCCGTCTATAATTTTCCTTATTTATTAGGAAAATCAATTCACACAGATGATGTCCAATACATAAGGTTTGAGATTTACAGTGGGTAATATAAAGCAATAGGGTTTCCCGGTGAAAATCTTGATGCTTTCACAAACGAAATATACAGCGGCAAGCCATATATATGTGAAGATTAAAATTTTCCTAGAATTAAATCCTGAATGTACATATATGCATAGGAACCATAGTTTGTGGCAAAGGCACGCGTAATATTTGTCATTTTCAGTTTGAGTGTTCAATAATGTTCCCCCTAAAATGCGCTTGGGTCATTGTGGAAAGTGGAATCTAACTATTACTAATTATCATACACCATGTAATAATTTCATAACAAATGAGTTCAATTCAAAATTGTTTTACACAAAGGAAGATTTTCCATTTTTCGAGAATGTCGGATGCGCAGAAATCTGGTTGTAGTTATAGCGGTCGACAGTCAGAGCAATCAGACAGATTATTAACTTTAGCATAACGGAATTTTATGCTATAATCGGGTTCTACAGTCCACAGGCCTACATCATATTAGGGCGCTTCAAGATACCATACGGAATCGGTGATATTAAAATTGTCGATGAGTAAAAATGACTGACCCCACCCTATCAGTTCATCTTTAGCTTCTGCCTGAATGGTTTAATGAGATTTCGGAAACATTAAACTTACTGAAAGCGAAAGCCAAATTCTTCAAGAATATGTCCGAAATGTAAGTACCGACATCCGGGTAACCATTGCTCTGATTCAAATATGTTTTCGGATGGATCGACTTCTTCAAATCGCCATTTCTAGGTATCATTAAATATATGTCATATATATGACATATATACGCTTTTCTGACAATTGAGGCATTCGTTGGGGGCGTTGAGAACATGAATTCACCTATAGTACACCAGCATCACGGGCGCACACAATGGCTCATGGGCGTATTTATGAAATGAAAATATCGACTCAAATTTTCACAAAATCACCCATTTAAATACATAAATATAATCGATAATACACTTATGAAAATTTGCTTTCTTTCTCAGTTATACCGAACAAATGTAGCTAGCTGAAATTTTGGAATAGGTTTACTTCGATAATTATCGGGTATATATATTCATTTTCATGTACCATGGAGTTTTATCACAATTTTGAATTTCTCACACAGAAGTTGTCAGACATTATTATTCTTTATTTGCTGTTGGTGTGGCTGAACATGTCAGAACTGGCACATTTAGACGCAATATATATGTGCATATTTTGCTTGTACAAAATATGTTTTTGTAACAGGCGATAGAATCCAATATAATATGAATATCGATTTTAGGTGACCGTACATTTGAACCCACGCACATTTGAACCCATGTGTATATCCACGGGTTCAATCTATATGCGGGTGCTAAAACCCATGGGTTAGGGTTAGTATGGGTTCAACTATCCGAAAAACAAAAAAAAACCATAGGTGCAATAGCATACAGGTGCAATTGTCATGGGTTCAAATGTACGTGGGTTCAAATGTAATGGAACCTCGATTTTATTATGCCAGAGCAATAATAAGCAGCATTGACAGATATTATATTGCAAAAGCGTGTTTTAGAATAAGTTTGACTGAATATCAGCCATGTGAAAAAATTCAGTTAGTCAATAAAAGGACCACACAACAGAACAACGGTGTTTTCTAAGTGCTCTCGTGAGTCGTGACTCTAAAGGCGAGTCGGGTAACATTTTATTACATTCATCTAAAACTTTCATATTACGGGGGATTTGGCGTCACATTCGTATGACCTCACGGCTGCGTCGTATTAAAAATTTATAGCTCAGAATTAATTCGATTATACGACGTCCCTTGGTGGATATTTTGAGACGTATTTTATTGACTCTCGAACACTCTTATTGTGTTGTGCCGGTGAAAAGTTTTTTGGAATCATGATGGAATTGCTATTTCAAGAATGTTCCAAATTCAGAATTCGGGTATACGTTTTTCATTTTTATGTACAAAATGCTCAACATCTTTAATAAAGTGAGTTAGCACCTGAACCAAAAGCAACTTGCAAATCTGTGGCAACGGCAAGCGGTAGGCTACTATGTTTGACGGGAGCTGAACCAGTCTATGATATTAGTAGGAACCGTTCAGGCTGAGACAAGCTTTGCTGTTGCCTACACATTTCCATTGAAATAATGAGACAAACAAGCCTGGCCTCATACATAATGGAGTTGAAATGCACTTGATAATGTGATCTCAGCCCACTAAGTTTCCCGCCAAATTCATACCGAATTCCTAAGAATTCCTACCGACATTGACTACTACTAGACTAGACTAATCAAGTGGAAAACAAATCTGACCATGACCAATCCCATTTATCACGCTCAAGGCATTGAAAATACTGTACAATGTAATTTAGAACTCTATATTACTCATACTTTGACAGGAAAAGCTGAATATAACTACAGTATACTATACTAACATGGAAGCAAACAAACAAACCGTTATGTTATGCTTATACAAATACCTACAATAAAGGCTCGCATTTTTTCTTGAATTATTATACTTCACACCAACAAAATATAAATCATAAAATCAGGCTTACCTTTCCCAGCTTTCGACTTGCTGCTACAGCCCGCATGATGATGGTGATAATCTACAGATAGCCTCCCAATCTTGGCAACTCTTCACCGTAGATATTTCGGGGTGATAAATCCTGCCTTTTCTTCGCTATGATATCTTATAGTTAAAAATCTAACGAATCTGCTCAAAAATATATATTCATGCAAATGAAAATGGAAAACATCGAAACGGAACAAGGTTCGAAATACGACGAAAATTACTCATTTCATTCAATGTCATTACCTCGAAATAATTCAATTTAATACAGTTTAACTATATACAAAATCTGACCTGATTTAAAAAAAAAGGAAATACTCCATTATGCACATTCCAACATGCCGAACTTCATGGTTTATTAGTCCGCTATTTCAATTTCATCGCCTTGACTAATTAACTGTAGCGTGAATAGCCTTCAATGAACAAAGTCATTTTGTGGAAAATCGATCGTAATACGTTTAATCCCGTTGCCTCTGTGAAGGTAATTTCATATTCTCTACCGCCCGTTCTAATATTGAAAACAAGCGCTGTCGGCGACGAGCTGAAAGACTTTTTGCACTTTAATATATTTGAAGTGAAGTGCAATGTGCATTTAGTGATTATATAATTTCTACAAGGGAACGTGTTCTCGCTTTGTAACGGTTTTAATTTTTATATTCGCAATTTTCAATTTTACCATTTAGCACGTTGCTTCAGACCATTTTCGGAGAACTATCCACTATAATTTAGAACGTTACAAACTTATTGGATTCGTCTCAATTAATGGTAAAATCGCTCATTTCAACTTTTGAGAGTATGGAGAGATTCTAGTTTTGCCTATTTCCGAAGCGAGTTATTTTTAGTCCAAATGGCTGTTTACGCTCGAATACTGTGTTAATTGACTATGTAACTGCTATTCTTCAAAAATTTGTTCGGAAAACGAGAAAAACTTATTTTGACCATTTCAACAGCAAACCACGACGTTACTTACACTCCTTCGCCAGTTAGGGGACGAATTCGCAACATAAGCACCTAGCAGTTGAGCTGAAGCAGCATTGAATATGTAGTTAATTTCTCCCGCTTTAGCAAAAACATCGTGATATTGTGAGAACATCATGCGCTGATAAGAGTATTTCACCAATCGAACGGAAATAAGTCCGAAAAGTACTTCGGCAAATGAGGATGATCACCATATTATTATATATGTTGAATTTTCGCATAATAATGATATTTATTTGGCAATTCTTATCACATTTTGGATATTAATATAATACACAGCTTTCTCGGACGGTAAGACATTATGATCAGTTGCTGTCACCGGATGCTGTCAATGTATCATCTCTCGTACTAACGCTACCAAATATCGATTTCTCTCATTATGAATATTACATGCATGATTTATTCAGAGATATTAACCAATTAAATCGCACCTACAGTATTTGAGTAATACGACTAACGGAAACTACGAACGTGTTTTCGTACAAACACTAACAAGGCATCTTAAACCATAATATAGTAAATTTCCCATCATTCGCGGAGTACGGTTTCGTCGTTTTCCGAAAAACATTTAAATTATTTTTCTTTTAAAATAAGGGGCTGTAAAAGTGGAAAATTTGAATAAGAAGTTCTTAATCTTGTTACGACTAAATTGCACAATAGCACTTATTGTATTTTCGACAATATATTTTCAGAAAGTTTTGCCTAGTTATTGAATTGCTTTCGATTTACTTGTATGGCTTCCGTAGCGCATGACCTCTTGCGGGTGATTTTCGAGTGAGTTTCATATATTTAAAATAAAAACGTTGTCATAATAGTTATGATCAGTTATTTACTTTCATCAATTTCAACTAGTTAACTATAATGTTGAAATCGAGGTAAATTCGAGAACAGAACATCACACACCATAATTGCGCGCAAAAGTTTAATCTTGATATCACAAAGTCATAAATTCATATTCCAATTTCGAACATTAGTAGATTATCGAGAATACGAATATAGTATAATCAACTTGACGTTTCCTCCTGCAGACATACCTCATGTTGATCGCGCTTAAGTTCAAACTAAGCTGTTGCTATCAAGGTTTAGTTGCACAGATTCGACTTTCTTGCAATAACTTTACTCAAGCATCTACCTCAGTTTTGTTATGTAATTTTCTCTGCACCTTCGCATAAAAATTGAGAAATGTATCATTTGATTTATGCCACAATTTGAGCGATCTCTCTCCTACCTTGGTGCACGAGCCCCTGACCACATAATAATCTTAAATGTCATTCGACGCGTTCCGTAAAGTCAGCCGAACACAATGAAAAATCGATTAGCGGTTATACGGGATATAGCATAAGCCAAAAGAGGAGTCAAAATTTATATAAATATTGGACTGTGGCCCGTCTTCGAACGTACGTCAATTATTTGTTCCTAATCTTTAGGCCGCAGTATGCGCAAAATATTCTTTATCTCCGCCAGAGAACGTGCGTTTGATTTCAAAGGCGCTTCCTGCCCCGTTATTCATTAGGTAGATTAATATTTAAAATTTTATGAATCTGCCACAGCGCACCGCGGAAACCATCGCGCCCTGCAAGTTTTTTCTTTGTAAGTGTTGTATTAAAATTATCGTAAAGAATAATGGGTATGAGATAAACTCTAGTTCACGTCAATCATGTCCCTTAAATTCCTTTGCAATAAATTTAGAAAATAGTATCAAAAACGTGTCATAGAAGTCAAACAATTCTCTACTTCTTGGCCTCCTGAATATAAGCTCGCGATATTTTTACATTGCACCAAGCAGGTTACGCAAATTTACTCAGCATTATCAGTCAGTTTTATTTTTTCTATATTATTGTCGTTCCTTTGAAAATTCGTCGAAAAGGGGGAAGCATTATAGAAAAATATTGAAAACCGGCTTGCTGGGCGGGGGTTGTAAACAACAAACTCATTTATGGGTTTATTTTTCAAGATAAAATCATTAGGATCCAGAAAACTAATTAGTTACAGATCATCCGCATTTTTTAAATTGAATGATCCCGTCGATGGCGATTTTGCTAAAGGCGAATTGTTCTGTAGCTTTTAATTATATTTGGACGATAAATTTTTAAAATCATATTTACTGTCGAGGTTGCTAATATGCATCGTTTACGAAACAAACACTGATATATTATTTAGTTTACTGGATAACTATGCAAGTTTAATTTTATCAATATAAATCGATCTAGTGGCGATTTTGGGGCATAAAGCTAACGGCCTATCTATACTGGCAATATATTTCACACTATTTTCACAAGTGAATAGATTATTGATCGACGCTGAACATAGATCCCCAACGCTCTGATGACAATCAGTTTGTTGTAAGAGTTTTCGACTCAATGAGTTTCAGCGTTCGCTTACTTGAAAATTTTCCATATCGTGAAATAAAGGTTACGGGTCGAACATGTTCCGATTGGTAGCGTCGGTCAACTAACTAAAAGTAATTGCTGATGTTTATCATTGAATAAAGGTTTGAATATACGCAACCTAATTTTATGTTTTTGATTGTCATGACAAAAATAGAATGATTGGACTGTGGCTTCTAGCAACATCTATTAATCTTCAAATGGTCACGTCAACGTGAAATGTGCATTAAAATAAATGCTGTGGCATTCAATACATCTAGTCGTGAAATTGTTCTGTCATAATAAGGTTTCATCAGATTGTTTTGCCACTTCGAGCTTGGTATGACAAAATCATTCCCGTTTATTTTTCGTGCGTTTACTATTCAATTTTAAAAATATAAACGTACGCACATAGTCTAAAATAAAAATAGCGTTGGACTATGCACTTGGGTTACACTCGTAATAAAGATGATCGAGTCGATCCCCATGAATAATAAATAATTAACTAGTCAAAATGTTCAGCATGTTAATGAGCTATTGATTGCGCTTTACACTAATGACGTTGTATGAAAATGATGCATTGGAAAATTCTATATATATATATAACTTGTTAATTCACATGTTAAAGAGCAAAATCATAATTATTGATAGAATTTTACTATGGTGATGCAAAGCTGGTTTTAGGTAATATAATGTTACAATATTGTGTATACATAGTCCAAAGTTTTATTATTCATTCTTTTGGTGTTAAAATATGAATTTACATATAACGGGAAAATATCCGAAGAAACGTCACTAAGCGTACGAAGTGTAAATAGCGATCAATATCACAATTAACAAACTGAGCAATTAGACCAGTGAATTATTTATGTACCGTGCAAATCGCGAGATTGCGATCCCATGCATGATAGTATCATTTCAAGTTGTAGTGTATCCTTCCGCAGATGTATCGATTGCGATTTTTGCAATAACGCGACTGACCAACGTTACTGGTCATGGCGACTACGAGATTGCAGCCGTATATCAACGCGACATTGCTAGCTGAAACGTGTAATTGTAACGCGTTGGTTCTACTGCGATAATTACTAATAAATCGCCCGTTTTGCCAACAATCTTACTATCAGAGCTTATTCTCACTCTATACCCATGTTTTATACCGATTGCGACCCTGAACATGTCATCAAATCCAATTCACCTACGGGCGCTATCCTTTAATATTTCATGGATATTGTGTAATATCCATGTTCAGATTGCAATATAATATTTTCATGTAGCCATATACTATTATACAAACCCTCTTCTAATCAATTTGCTAGTTGACTCTATTGTGCTGATCGTGCTGTGCATTGGCGGTATGGGACTCCGATCACATCATGTGCGAGTGAAAATATTTCCCGCTCTCTCCTCATCCGCTGTAGAAGGCATGTCCAACCTTTTTAATGCCACGGGCCACTTTCAAATGAGAACTTAAATATATATACCAGTTCTGAATTACGTTAGAATTTGCGCGTCGTGGAATCAAACGCTTGGATTGAACAAAGCTATTGCGAATATCTGAACACAATATGCACGCATTTTTATGCATTGAGTAAATTTCAGAAGTTTTATTTAACGCAAAAAAGCCAGTAGCAAAGATATTGTACAGTACACTTTTTACTTTACTGGCGATAAAGATGATCAAAGCCTACACGAAAGATAATAATCACAATGAATTGAATTAGGGTTGCAAATTTATTCCTATATTTCCTCGACCAATGATCGCACAATAGTTTTCGATTTTGTTGAGCAAAACTCGC